AATGGCTAGAGCCAGCACTGAAAACAGACAATAAAAAATAATAATTTAGCTGTTGATAAAGATATTTTTTAATCAAAGACTTGCATTAATTAAACTTCCTTGAAGAAATGCATCATTCACTGTCTCATGCCAGAGTTTTAGATAAGCTTGTGTTGAGAAAGGACAGGGTTGGAGCCACTTTTGTCAAACTTGTGCTATCCCCAGTAATGTCATACAAAATATTTGTTATAGAGGTCTCTCAGCTTTTACCACATCAAGTTTTAGCTTAATAGCTCTAAAACCATCAAAAACCATTGAAGGTATCTCTGATTTTAGATATTTCTAACAGAGCTACGTAAATCTTTTCTCAGCTTTGGCTGTCGTTTTTATTAGTGTCATTTTATTGTTCTTTTGTTTGTTTTTKTACTTTTACAGCTATTTATTTACTGTGTGTTTTACTGTTTTGTAGCACTTTCAGACTTTTTTTAAAATAAAAACCGTGTTACAAACTATATTAATATGATTATAACTAACAGTTTTAGCTATTTCTGTGTTGGCTAATGTTCATGCTGGATCAGCCATCCTGAATTGGATAAATTCCACAAGATAATCAGCTGTAGACATACATTCAATAATTACTTTATGGCAGTTTCATTAAAATTCATCCAGTAGTTTGTAAGATATTTTGCTAACAGACAAAATAATGCATGCAAACAGAGACACAGTACAAACACATTATTTCTGCAGGTGAAAAAGAAAATTGCTTAAGTGCAGCAGCCAAACATATAAATGTTATTCAGTATTAGGGCTGTGTATTGGCAAGAACTTGGCGATACGATACATATCATGACAAAGGGGTCACGATATGATATATCCAGGTATATTGCGACACTGTAAACAAGGGGATATATTGCGATTTTTTTTGGTCCAAAAACTCTGTTAAATAAAAACCTCTTACTATGAAAAACCAAAATTTATTGTCTCAGAAAATTCTAATATTACATAGACATACTTTTGATACATTTAGCTGTGTTCTGCTTTGTTAGTGTTTTATTTTATTTGTTTCATATTTCATCCATGCTTTCAATTATTGGACTAAATTTAACAATAAACAGTTTGACAAAATATTTTTTGCAGCTTTTAGTTTTTAATATTAATTTACAACATGGTCACCCAACACTTTAAGTACAGAGGTAGTGGAGCCAAATGGCTGGCTCACTGCTGCCAACTAGTGGTCAGAGGCTGAACTACAACATAAAATGAACAGCTGGCAGGAAAGTTGACATTTTAAACCTTAATAAAAAATCAATACAGGGCTTTAGAATATCGATACAGTATCGGGAAATGAAATATCGCGATATTTCAATGTATCGATATTTTCTTACACCCCCTATTGAGTATGATTTAAAGTTACAGTAAAGTTATGAKTTTAAGTTACAGGTAATATGTGTGCTACCACTGAAGAGTTGTTTGTGTGTTCTCAAATGCTCTGTTTGTGCATAGTTTCAAGTTTTTATTCAAGAAGTCTCTGTGATCAGTTCAAGGTGACAGATGTTACAAAATAATGATAAGACGTTCCCTGATGACAAAAGAAACATTTGTTTGTGTCTCGGTGGACTTCTTTCTGTATTTTGTCCTTGAATCAGATAAAGAGTTACCTTATAACAGATARTGAATCATGTTTTCTAAGGGTTTTCTTTGACCCCCACCTTCCCATCCCTTCCCAGTGACTCCAGTCCGTGTTTTGCCCGCAGCCTTGCCTTCCGTCCCTGTGATTGGGTTTGTGTCTGTCAGGCCATGGCCCCAGCGGTGTGGGCGGTGCTTCGGACGGTATCACGTCCGCTAGTCTCCGTRCTGAAATCAAACGCACCTGAAGGAGCAGCTCCTCGGAGGTTCGGGCCCGCTGTTCCCCGYTGCTGCAGAGCCAAATCCAGGTGAGCAACCACCTTGAGCTGTTCGTGGGGTTTAAAGACCCGGAAACAGGAAGGTAAGGAGGAAGTGCCCGGATGTTGGTCGTCGCAGCTAACCGGGCTGCAGCTCAACAACACCAGGCGGAAATTTTCTAAAATTTTGCGAAGTCAGTGCAGCTAAAACCCTGAAATTCCACCATTCATAAACTTTTTTCTGTACAGAACAAATGTAAATTTGGGTTACCTTTAAAAAATGCTGCCTGTAGCCTAGTATGTAAAAAATGTACAAGAATTGTAATTATGTGGGAATAAATAGAGCTCTTTCTGTGCATTGAGCTGCAGAGCTCCAAAGAGAGATGMAATTTTAGTTTCTCCCWAAWYTTGTTTGTAAAAATAGTTTGTAATTTTTGTCTAAACCTCAGAATGCACTGCTGCCATACTTTCCCTGCATGAGCTGCACATTGGTGAATTTTTTTATTTCTATTTTTTTCWTGGGAATTTCTAAAACTGGGAGGAGTAGCATTTGAAACTGACAGTAACAAACAGTAAAATGGGTGTTTTAGTACTTTATAAACCCTTAACAAATGATTACAAATAGGGTTAGGTTAGGTGCAAAGGGCTCAAAGTTCAAAAAGTCTCATCTTCTCAAAATGACTCAATCGTTTTTCTTTTTGTTATTGTCCAACATATAACTAATGAGCCACTGACGGTGCCTTGTCCTCCTGCACTGCCTCCACAGTACGGTGAGAAGCCCACAGTCTGCAGCCAGCATGCCTGAGATCACCACAGACCACCTGGATGAGAAGCAGG